TCCTGAAGCCTCTTGGGGCTCTAAGGGGCGATATCTAACCTGTGGCCATTTGGGCCCCTCAAAATGGAGGGGGGGGGCACAAGAGCAGGAAAAATCAACGAATCGACACCGGATGTGTATTAACTTGATAGGAGGCCTCCTGGGGCCTCCTGGGAGCCTCCCGGGAATCTCCTGGGGACCCCTGGGGCCTGTCCTGGGCATCCTGCGGTCTCCTGGGGCTCTCTGGGGCCTCCTGGGTCTCCCAGGGTCCCAGGGAGGATATGTAGCCTGTGGTGTTCTGGGCCCCCAGGCTGGACCACCTCTTGCGCGGCATCTGGGAGCTCAGAGTTGTGAGAATGTCTCGTGCGAAACAGGCCCGACCACCTTGCGCACGGCATCTCAGAGCTCAGAGTTGCGAGGATGTCTCTGAGGCGAGACGGGCCGGACCACCTCGCGCAGGGCATCTCAGAGCTCAGAGGTTCGAGGATGTCTCGGGCGGGCTCCCAGGGTCCCAGGGAGGATATTTAACGTGTGGTCTTCTGGGCCCCCAGGCTGGACCACCTCTTGCGCGGCATCTGGGAGCTCAGAGTTGCGAGAATGTCTTGTGCGAAACAAGCCGGACCACCTCGCGCACGGCATCTCAGAGCTCAGAATTGCGAGGATGTCTCAAGTGAAACGGGCTGGACGGGCATCTCAGAGCTCAGAAGTTCGAGGATGTCTCAGGCGAAACGGGCCAGACCATCTCTCGCGCGGCATCTCCGAGGTCAGAGCTTCGAGGATGTCTCAAGCGAAACGGGCCAGACCACCTCGCGCAAGGCATCTCAGAGCTCAGAGTTTCGAGGATGTCTCAGGCGAAACGGCCCGGACCACCTCTCGCACGGCACCTCGGGGCTCAGAGTTTCGAGGATGTCTCAAGCGAAACGGCCCGGACCACCTCTCGCGCGGCGTCCCGGAGCGCAACTTTTTGAGGATGTCTCAGGCGAAACGACCAATCCCGGCCAACTCAGAAACGAGAATTGTGAGGATGTCTCAAGCGAAACGGCCCGGACCATCAAATTTTTGTGAGGATGTCTCTGTTTCCCCTTCCCTCGGCCGGAGTTAGCTTCTATGACAACATCACCCCGTTCAGCAAGCTGTTTGGGGAATTACAACAGAACACGAAACTAAACGAACAACAGAACAAAAAGCCAAACCGAGCTCAACAGCGTTGTGGTCAGTCCTTGCTTCTTATGTGTATGCCGCTTTCCAAAGAGTGAGAGGAGAGAGAGAGAGAGAGAACAAAAAAAATGAAAAGCTGCCTTCGGGCCCCACTTGCGCCCAGATGCCAGGGGAGGACCCATGAGAGGACCGAAGATACATCGAGCCCGTTTCGAAACAAAGATCGGGCTGTACAGGAAGTTTCTGCTGTGAAGATGGGACGCACATGGACATACTAGTACTATATGTCCTCCTTGGAGGCGCGCGTCCGACCCGAACATATAGTATACCCATCTTGTAGTATATCGTTTCCCGAGCGGTGTGGCCAGAAAGCGCCCGCCACGACGCATATACTATAAGATTTCTCGGTGCGCGCGTCGCCCCTGGGGGGGCGACGCACATATAGTATAAGTATGTTGGGGTGTTGCCGATGAAGACGCTGGCCCTGGTTTCGGACACCACGTGAACCATCCAAGCTCGAGGGATCGCCTCTCTCGGCGGCTCCCAGCACCTCTCACCCCCCTTTTGTTTGTCTGGGAGGACAAGGGGGACAGGGGTGGGAAAAAAAAGGGGCCGCATCGCCGACGCCCAACGTCCCGCCCGAATGTGCTCTGTGCGCCGTCGAAGCCCTGCCAAAGGAGAGCCATCACGACAGAAGACAACGCGCCGAAAGGACGGAGGTGAGCTGCAGCTTTCTGAGCCCACATGCCGGAGGAGGCAAGAGGCCGAGGAGGAGCCGAGGGAGGCACCAGCGCGGCAGGCAGTCAGATAGCGTGCCCTGGCACAGGAAGATGTGGAAGGGCGCTGTGTGGAGGCGAAATCACGCTGTATCCAGGGGGCAGGAAGGGGGGGTGGACAGACAGACAGACAGACGGGCCCATCGGCCCGAAGGCCGTCCATAAGCAGGACGCGCAGCAGAACGTCGGCCCCCACCTTCACGACCATAATGTGCATGTCAGCGCGGTGTCAGACTATCGCTGCTTGATCTGCTGCGCGCGGGACAATCCAAAAGGCTCACATGAAAAGGAACGATGAGCCCGAATGTCGTTCTTCTCTTGCGCCCACCGCGACCACGCGAATGACTTTGTGCAGCTGCCTGCGCACGGCCCCAATGCACTTCCACGACCAGGCGCCGAACTGTACGATAACGCCGTTGACGATTTCTTGGTCGGGGGAACACACTCGACCACCCGCCGACGGCTGCCGCCGACGACCACGAGCATCATGTTCCGTCTCATACTGCGCACCCTGGCAGACAACTCCTGCGCCAACACCCACACCACACTGGCGCACAGAGACAGGAGAATGCTGGACACCGCGGCGTCCAAAAACTCCAAGCGCGCACTCAGATAACAAGTACTCCGAGTTAGCACAAATTCACGCCATTAAGCCCGTCTACTCCATGCTGACACGGTGCTGGATTTTCCATATCGTGTGGCTGACACGAACAAAATTGCCTTCCGGGGTATTTGGCTTTCACGTCGTCGGAACAACCAGACGCCACCAGCCCACAGTTGTGATTGTACTGGGCGCCTGCAAGTGCAAGATTGAGAAAGGAGAGAGAGAGAGGGGGGGGGCAGGACGAGAAAGGGGAGGGGGGGCGCGAGGGGCAGGGGGGCAAACTAGGTGCGCTCGCACCCTGTCTGGCATCTTGCCTGTCCCACCAACTCCTTCCCACGGAACCCATTGTTTCTCTAACAAGGGACACGCGTCATACCGTCATAGTGGACCTGGAGCTCCAAAAAGACCCCGTCGGGTTATGCGCAATCGGAAAAAGAAAGCTACGCACATTGGAGGAGGAAGCGGCGAACGAGCAGGAGAATGAGAAGGGAGAAAAGGAGGATGATGAGGAAGGAGGTGGACGAGGAGGAACATCAGCAGCAGCAGCAGCAGCAGCAGGGGCTGGAGCAAAAGGAGCGGGGGGAGCAGGAGGACTAGGGGAAGACCGAGGAGGGAAAGGGCGGGGGCGACAACGATGAGGAAGGACTCAGGTCCGGAAAGATGGCCCGCGCTGGGGCGAAAGCGCCAACACGCGCCGACCCCGAAACAAGGCCCACGCTGCCGCAAGAGCACCCCTGTGAAGCGCCAAGAACGCGCCGACCCGAAAAAGAGCACGGGGAACCTGCGAACCCCGAAGCCCCATGTGAAAAACGCGACGCGGAGAGGACGAGACACCATGCGCACAGCGCGAGGGGAGAGGGCGAAACGAAGCGAGGGCGCTGGAGCCGAACACGCAAATGTGCCCGTGAAGTTTGGGCAGGGCGCATGAGGCCGAGGCCTCGTACCGTGTACAAATAGAAATCGCGAACGAAATACTTCAGGAACCAGAACACAAAGGAGGCAAGGGAAAACAAATGTATGAAACCGAAATAACAGAACGCGTGACAGAAAATGCTCACGGACCGGGTGAGGTTCGAGTCGGTGCGGTCGGTGTCCTGGCTGTTGCTGTTGATGGTCCCTGGTAGTCGGTGCGCTTATGCTGGTACTGATGTTATGTTGGTGTCGGTGTTGGTGGTCGGTGGTGTTGGCTCTGGAGGGTCGGAGCGCGTGTTGGTGCGGGTGCTGTTGGGGAAATTGTGCGTTCAGCAGCTGTGACAATGAAAGTGCGCTCGACCGAGTCCCACCACGTCGTGTCCGTTGAGGCCGTCATGCATCTCACATCGTTACTGCCGTAATGGGGATATCGTCCTGGATGAACGGCGTCGTTGGTATCGCTGCCCGTGGCTTCGTCTCTGGCGCTCATGTGCAAGCCGTGCAAAAACTGCCTGTTGTCGTCGTCCCACCGTTTCCTTTGGCCGCCGTGCTGCCAGTGACCCTGGCCTTCCGCGTCGAGACCGGGGTTCCAGTTCCACGCTCGCTGTGTCCGTCGGTTCTGTGGATGGCCTGCAACGCGCGGGTGCTGGTTGATGGGCCGATCACCCACCACCACTACTACGGGTAGGAGGAGGAGGAGGAGGAGGAGGAGAAGAAGGAGAATGAGGAGGAGAAGGAGGATCTCCCCATCCTCCCCTCTCTCCCGTGCTACCTATGGTAGTGGTGGTGGGAAAAAGGCCCATCACTGGTGGTCTGTTTTGATGGGGACGGGGGGTCGGAAGGTGCGCCGTGGTCGCTGGAGTCGTCGGGGTGGTCGCTGTCTGCGTCGTGACTGCTGTGGTTGTCGGCCGTTGGGGTGGTGCGCGATCGTAAGTGGCGCGCTTTCTCGGAGTTCCGGTGATCACCCCGACCATCCGTCGCCGAGTGCGGCGTAGCTATTGTCTGAGTGGCTATGTCACGGTCCATGTTTCCGCGCGCCACACGTCATCGTGGGCATGTCGGTGCCACGGTTGAGCCCCGCATCCTGTGTTCAAGTGGGCAGCGCTTGCTCGATGACTCTTGTCCAGAGACGCATGCCCACGCAGCCTGGACTGGGGGCAAGAGGAAAGAGGGACAGACAAGCTAGGTGCGCTTGCGCAACATCTGACATCCGACCCCCCCATCCCTTCCAACTGCTCCGAATTCGTTCGTACCCGCCGACTGGGGTGCCCCCGAGGACATTGATCCCCACAGCGGGAGGGAAAACTGGCAGCAGAGGGGGAGAGATTCCGAAATGGGTACGGAAAAAAGTGGCTACAATGCCCAAGAGCAAACGTTGCCCAAAGTCGACAGCGGCCGCTGTTGGGCAGGCGGCCTTCCGTCTCAAACGGACAACGCCTGCGACGGCACCAACAGTGAGACCTAGCAAAAATTAACTCGCACGGCTGTTGGTCGTCGTACCCGTTTTTGCCGTACCCGTTTCTTTGCGTGCCAAAGAGGGGGCCGAGTGAGCACATCGGAAGCGGCGAGGCCTTGGTTGTCGGCCATGAAGCACCGGATGGAGCTCGCAACGCCGCTTGCCTGGCCAGGCCAGGCGGCGAGCGGGAGGGAGGACGAGGAAGGAAGGAGAAAAGATGGAGTCGGGACGACGGGGGCAGGGCGGATGAAGCAGAAGTGAGGAGGGAGGCGTGACGAGGGAGGAGGCAAGAAGGAAGAGGGAGGAGGAGGAGGGAAGGAAGGGAAGGAGGGAGGAAAGCTAGCTGGTGGAGAAAGGGGGGGGGAGGGAGGAGGGAGGAGGAGAAGCGGGAGCAGGAAGGAGGGCGCAGGGACGAGAGAGGGAAGGGGGAGGGAGGGGCCAGACGGAGATGAAGGAGCGAGGACCGAGGAGGGAGGAGGGAGGAGGGAGGATCAAGGATCAAGGAGGGAGGAGGAATCGTCAAGGTCGGCGGAAGGGAGGTGAAGAACAACGAGGACCAAGATCCAGAGGACGGGGGTGGTTCCTTTCATCCAGCCCCAGGCTTTCAGGAGATGGGTTACTCACTGACTACATATATCCTCAGCAGCAGCTGACCGACACATTAGACGAACCAGGGGGTAGCCCGATTGATAGATTGGGCAGCTGCTGCTTGCCATAGGGGAGGTTCGGTTCGACTCGGTCGTCTTCGACGGCGCGAGTCGAGCTGGCAACTTCTGAACGAACGGATGCGACATGCGTACCATGAGGGAGCGGGAGGAAATGTCCGCAATCTACACACTCACACTCGGGGTGGAGAGAAGCCCCATTGCCAAAACATAGCGTAATGAAAAGGACAGCAGACCCGCCGGGCCCAGGACCGAAAAAAAATTGCAGACGAAGGGCCCCCTCAGTGGGCAATTCGCTAGTCGGCTTGGCAGGGTGGGGTTTCTCTACCGACCTCCGACACCACTCTTCACCATCAATCACGACGTGCCGCCCGAGAGCGGGCGGCAACCCCAATTCAAGAATGGAGGGACGCTGCTCGGCGGCGGCAGGGGGACGGCAGCGGCGAGAGGGGAGGAGAGGGGTACGCCAGGTCGGTGCTCAGCACCGTGCCCCCACCAGAACCTCGCCAAGGAGGAGGAGGAGGAGGAGGAGGAGGAGGACCAGGAAGAGGCGGACAGAAGAAGAGGCCCAGGAGGGAGGAACAGGCAGAGCATGCGAGGCGGGGATGAATCCATAGCCACCGCCTCTCGAGGTCTCCGAAGATCGATCCTCCAAGCGGTGGTGATGTTTAAAGCCCCCAACCTCCCCCCGGAGAGCAGCGGCTGCAAAACACCAGGCCCCACCCCCAGTCCTGGCCTGTCCAGGCCCCTTGCACGTAACACCACGACTACCCCCCCCCTCTCCCTCCGCCTCCTCCCCCATCCACGTTCTCTTCATCTTCTTCATTAGAATAGTATTAGTTTTCTGAGTGTTAGTAATGTTTTCATTGCCATTCTTCGTATCAGTTTCCATACAAGAACTGCCATGGCTACTACTACTATTACGAGGGTTCGTATTATGCGTGTTGTGTTTATCATGTGTATGCGTCTTCTTATTGTAAATAGTATTCCTCCTCCTCCACCTCCTCCTTTTCCTCCTCCGTGCCTGGCCAGGCCCCTTTTGCCCGTAGCAACGCGGCTACTCCTCCCTCTCCCTCCTCCTCATCCTTCCCCTCCTCCTCCTCCTCCTCCTCCTCCTAATCCTCCTCTTCTTCATAATGTATGATTAACATCAGTAGCATCAATATTATGAATAGCTTTATGATTCGTATGAATACTGGAATTCGTATTATTCGTAAGTAGCTTATTCGTATTATTCGTAGTAGGGTTCGTCGTCTTGCTCTTGTTCGTAGTCTGTAGTATTACTGTGACTCGTATTAGTAATCGTATTAGTACGCTTCTTATGATACATCCTCCTCCTCCTCCTCCCCTTCCTCCTCCTCCTCCTCCTCCTCCTGCTCCTCCTCATCCTCCTCCTTGCCTGGCCAGCTCCCTTGCCCGTAACACCGCGGCTATACCCCCTTCTCCCTCCTCCTCTTCCTCCTCCTCATCCTCCTCTTCTTCTTCGAAGTATGGATTAGTAGTATTCGTGCTGATAATCGTATGTGCTATTCTTATATGTCTTGATTATATTCGTGCCTTTTGATCATTCGTATTCGTATCCGTGTGATTCTTATTTATTCCTCATCCTTCTCCTCCTCCTCCTCTTCCTCCTCCTGGCCTGGCCAGGCCCCATGCCCGTAGCACCGCGGCTATCGCCCCCTCTCCCTCCTCATGCTCCTCCTCCTCATCATCGTCATCCTCTGGTTGTTCGTTGTGCTCGTAGCATGTCTCCTTAATACTAGTATAAGTTGCATAATTACTCATAGGATACATAATGCTGAGTGTTGCGTTATTGTGATGATTATGTTTGTATTTACTTATGTTGTTATTGATGATGGTATTGCTATGACCCGTCTTCATATTATCATTACTCATCATCCTCCCCCCCTCCTCCTCCTCTTCCTCCACCTCCTCCTCTTCCTCCTCCTCCTCCTCCTCTTCCTCCTCCTCCCTCCTCCTCCCTCCTTCTCCCTCCTCCCCCCTCACTCCTCCCTCCTACCTCCCTCCCTCCCTCCCTCCTCCTCCTCCTCCATGCCATTTCCCTTGTAAGTAACGTCTCCCTGTCGCACCCCGAGGCCATTGTTTAGGACGGGCCGGGCGTTTCGCCCGAGGCCTCCTCACCATTTATGACCCTGGAGCTTAAACATCGGCAACAGTTTCACAGATGGAGGGCGGGTCGTTTTCTGCGTGTGGCTCTCGCCTCAGCGCCGCGCACATTCGTTTTGATTCACGGATTCGGGTCCGACGCACGCCTCCGAGGAGCACACGTAGTACGTTATCATGCCCTTCTTCGTCCCGATCAAGTTCAACGAAGTGCCCAGCGGCTGCTCCCTTCGGGCTGGACCGGGGTGAGGCTGGTTCGCAGCCTAAGCTTTGCCGGCTTGTTTGTTCCTCCCCGAGTCCGGGGCCATTGCACGATTTGGCTCTCAGTGCCTTGCGGTTGGGGGGAAGGGGGGAGGGGGGCGGGAAGGACGTGGAGCGGGGGAGGATGGGACATAGGGGGGGTGGGGGAACAACAGGAAGGGGAGGAGAGGTAGCGGGGGGGGAGGGAATTGGTGGAAACGAATGGACACGGGGGGAGGAAGGAAGGCAAACAAAAAGAAGAGGAGACGGAATACTGTGAATGGGATGGGGACGGGGAAGCGGCTGCTCAAGCGCTCTCCGACTCCATCCGAGCCCGTCCCTCCGTTCCCGCGACGACGACGACGAGGCAGATCGGAGCAAGACAGCGACGACGACGACGACGACGACGACGACGAAACGACGACGACGACGACGACGACGACGACGACGACGACGACGACGACAAGGACGACGACGACGACGAGGACGAGGACGACGACGACGAGGACGAGGACGACGACGACGACGACGACGACGACGACGACGACGACGACGACGACGACGACGACGACGACGACGACGACGAGGCGAAGAATCCGCAAAGGGCGCAAAGCCTCTGCGCGCAGGGCCCGCACCTCAGCCTCCAGCTGCCTGTTTCTCTCCTCCAGCCTGCCCAGGTCCTCCACCCCCGCAGCGGCAGCGCCGCCGCTGCCGCCCGCCGCCGCCACCGCCAGCGGCCTCGGCGTCGTCCTCCTCGCCCACCAGGCCGCCGTGGCCGACGTCGTCGCCGACCGTCGACCCCCTAAGCGGCATCGCCGCCGCCGCCGCCCCTCGCCGCCGCCACCTCCAGCGGCATGCGGGCCCTACCGCGCGGGCCCCGCCGGCGGACCCGCGCGGCCGGGTCAGGAAGGCGGGGCGTTGAAACGGTCGGGCGGAGGGAGGTGGAGGGGGGAGGAGGATGACACTGAGTGTGCAACCAAGAGGTAGCACGGAGAGCAAGAATAACCAGAAATGCGGAGGGAGGAGGGAGGGGTGGAGGGCTGGATGGCGGGGGGGGGAAGGAGGAGGAAGAGACTGCATGCAAAAATGGTACGATTTCGCGCGCCTGAACGCTCGAGCCCTCGAGGGCGAGTCGTGCTGGCGGGACCTAATGGGCGGGTCGGGCGGGCGGGCCCGAAATAGCGGGGCTAGCGGGCGGCGCATCCTCTCGCCCACCTCGTCGTCGACGTCGTCGTCGTCGTCCACGTCATCGCGTCGTCGCCGGCGGCATCCAGGCAGGAGAGAGGAGGGAGAAGGAGAAGAGAAGGAGGATGGGCATCCTCCCATTACCTCCCACACTCAACCACCCTGATCCGGCGCCTTCTACTCCTACTCCTACTCCTCCTCCTCCTCCTCCTCCTCCTCCTCCTCACCATCCTCCTCCTCGCACTGCTCCTGCTCCTCCACCTCATCCTACTGTTCCTCTCCTCCTCCTCCTCCCGACTTGTGACGGGAGGGTATATGGCAGCATCGTTTCTGCATATTTGGTTTACTCTGGTCCTCTCCTCCTCCTCCTCCTCCGGAGCCAAGAAGAGCCGCTCGGGAGGCCAAAAGACGGGCCTAGAGAGGGTCGTCGAGGCCCAGCTCAACAGGCGCCGCGGCCAGTGAGGTCAGAGCCACTAGAGTTGCCCAGCAGACCTCAGCAGACAGACGCTGCGGGCCCCGCGAGCTCTGCAGTAACCACGGGCCCCGGGCCGACCAGCGACTGGCCCCCCTCGGTCCCGCCGTACACTCGAAAGGCAAAACTCGCGATGCAAATCAGCAGCGACCTCGAGCGACACACGATACTAGGAGAAAAGCATCACGATCCAGGGGCCATATGGCGGATATACTCCGAAAGGTCTGAACGTGCATTGGATCGATCAAGATGTACTTGCTGATCACATCCACGGCCCCGTGCGGGCCAGAGCTAGCTGCTGGGGAGTCTAAACTCTAAAGGCCGGCCTGTGGGCGGAGACGGCGTCGGGCAGCGGGCGAGGCGGCAGAGAAGGGATACTCAGGAGAGTAAGTAGAGGAGGTAGAGGGCGCAGAGGGTCAGGGCTAGGCGGGCCCCATAAGGCTCCACGGGTTCACCTCCAGGGAATATCATACTCATTACAATTCTTTTGTAGCCTCTGACCCGTCAGTTTCTTCCATCTCTCTCTCTCTCTCTCTCTCGAACTCCAGCGGCCACGAGCTCCCGTCGTACACGATGAGCGTCGCCTCGGTCGGGTTTGGCGCCAGCCTGTCTCGCAGCTCGCTGGGACCGTTTCGAGCTCCTGCCGCCACTTGGCCAGTTTGGTGAACTCGTTCTTGAGGTTCTTCTCGATCCTCCAAACGCGAGCATGAGCCTGCTGAACTTTCTGCTGGGGAGAAACCTCTGCCTGAGTTTCAGCTCGTTCGAGGGACATAGCCAACTGCGAATACTTCTATCCAAAACCACCTTCTCCTGCTTTAAAGTGCAAGCTAGACAACTGCTCGGCCTCCTCGATACTGAGCTTGGGCACTGCTCCCGTAGGGAGGGCCACAGGTCCACCTCCGCCCGGAAGAGATCTGCGGGGCTCCATGCCTTTGCCCCTGCCCAAGGTGTGGCCGCTGCCCTTCGCGAAAGCCTTGTCCAATTTGCCGCCTGCACCAGAATCGAGTGACCATATCCCCGAAACAGATGGATGCGAGGCAGCTTGGACAGTCTTGAGCGGAGCGTAGCAGTGCTTGCACCACGTGAAATGCTTGAGGTTCCGTCTGCAACCACACGAGAGACACATAACCTTGGACGCGCTGGCACCATCATAGCTTCCGTCCCACCACCATCCCCACGCAGAAGAGCCAGAAGCGCCCATGCCCGTGCCCAAAGCAGAAGAAGTGCGGAAAAAACAAAAGGATGTAATGGTGGCAGACGGGAAAACCGTAAATTACACAGACAAGCTGATGGAGAGGTAGGGACAGCGAAATCCCCAATGCCACAAAATCTCACAGTCCCTGAGCCACCGCTACAGACTTGAGCCAAAATGGCTACGGAGATCATCCTCATCCTCCTCCTCCTCTTCCTCCTCCTCCTTCACCGCCTCCTCCTCCTCTTCCTCCTCCTCCTCCTCCTCCTCCGCCTCCTCCTCCTATTCCCTCCTCCTCCTATTCCTCCTCCTCCTCCTCCTCCTCCTCCTCCTTCTCCTACTCCTCCTCCTCCGCCTCAACCTGCACACCTCCACTTCCACATCCTCATCCTCCTCATCCTACTCATCCTACTCATCATCATCATCATCATCATCATCATCATCATCATCATCATCATCATCATCATCATCATCATCATCATCATCATCATCAGCAGCAGCAGCAGCAGCAGCAGCAGCAGCAGCATCAGCATCAGCATCAGCATCAGCATCAGCATCATCATCAGCATCAGCATCAGCATCAGCATCAGCATCATCATCATCATCAGCATCATCATCATCAGCATGATCATCATCATCATCATCAGCATCATCATCATCAGCATCACCATCATCATCATCATAATCAGCATCCTCAACATCATCATCATCATCATCATAATCATCATCAACATCATCATCAATATTATCATCATCATCAGCATCATCATCAGCAGCAGCAGCATAATCGTCATCATCGTCATCATCATCATCAGCATCATCAGCATCATCATCATCATCGTCGTCATCATCATCATCATCACCATCCACCTCCTCCTCCTGAACCCTCCTCCTGAACCCTCCTCCTCCTCCTCCTGTTCCCTCCTCCTCCTCCTCCTCCTCCTCCTCCTCCTCTTCCTCCTGATCCTCTTCTTCATCCTCCTCCTCCTTTTCCTCCTCCTCCCCCTCCTCCTCCCCCTCCTGTTCCTCCTCCTCCTGTTCCTCCTCCTCCTGTTCCTCCTCCTCCTCCCTCCTCCTCCTCCTCCTCCTGCTCCTCCTCCTCATCTTCCTCCTCCTCCTCCTCCTCCTCCTCCTTCTCCTTTTCCTGTTCCACCCTACCTCCTCCCGCCCCATTTCTCATCATCACTCCTCCACCATCCCCCCCATCCTGCCCCCGCCTCCTCCCCCCAGGCGGCGGCTCCTCCTTGGCCGTCTCCTTCTGGCTGCCGAGCAGGCCCTCCACCTCACACTGGAACATTTTCGACAGCGCCTGCGCGGAGGTTCGGCAGAACAGGACGAGCAAGCGGGGGGGAGGAGGAGAACGAGGAGGAGGAGAATGTTAGTAATACGAAGAAGAATAAGATTATTAATGCTATTAATAATCCGCCGGCCCCCTTGTGGGGCCACCAGGCTGTAGGCCTAAGGTTGGCAGTTTCCTGTACCAGTTGCAGCTTCCAGTTTCCACTGTTACAGTTATGCTTCTTGCTGCTTACTGTTCCTTGTTTACAGTTCTGCTGCTTGCTGCTTACTGTTCCTTGTTGATGGACCGCGCGAGGGGGGGGGGGGCCCAAAACGGGCATTTTCACCACGCCCTGAGCGTATTGTCTGAATTGCTGGGGTGGATAAAAATTAACACCCCTCACGCAGATCGGCGGGGTCAGGGTCCCAGAACACAAGGGATGTGCCACATTTCTGAAATGCGTTGGCACCCCTCACGCAGATCGGCGGGGTCAGGGTCCAAAAAAACACGGGATTTGCCACATTTCTGAAATTCGCTGGCACCCCTCACGCAAATCGGCGGGGTCAGGGTCCAAAAAACAAAGGATTTGCCACATTTCTGAAATTCGGTGGCACCCCTCACGCAGATCGGCAGGGTCAGGGTCCAAAAACATAAAGGATTTGCCACATTTCTGAAATCCGGCGGCACCCCTCACGCAGATCCGTAGGGTCAGGGTCCAAAAACACAATGGATTTGCCACATTTCTGAAATTCGCTTGCACCCCTCACACAGATGCGTCGGGTCAGGGTCCCAAAACATAAAGGATTTGCCACATTTCTGAAATCCGGCGGCACCCCTCACGCAGATCCGTAGGGTCAGGGTCCAAAAACACACTGAATTTGCCACATTTCTGAAATTCGGCTGCATCCCTCACGCAGATCGGCAGGGTCAGGGTCCAAAAACGGAATGGATTTGCCACATGTCTGAAATTCGGCGGCACCCCTCACGCAGATGCGTAGGGTCAGGGTCCAAAAACACAAAGGACTTGCCACATTTCTGAAATTCGGTGGCACCCGTGACGCAGATCCGTTGGGTCAGGGTCGAAAAACAAACAGGTCCCGACACTGCTTCACGGCGGTGCCCAGACCTCATGATTTAGCTTTTGCATCTCCCATCGAGACAGGGGGCTGGCGGCATGGGGCGAAGCCGTTACTGATGCGTATCAGATTAATGTTACTAGCAATATTCCCATGAGTGAATATGACGATGATGATGAGAATAGCAAGAGTAGTGATTTCAATAGAAATAATAATAATAATAATAATAACAATAATAATAATAGCCTAATAATATAGTAATGGTAACAGTAATGGTAATAGTAATGGTAATAGTATAGGTAAAAGTAATAAGAATAAAAATAACAATAGCAATAGTATTAGCAATCGTAAGAATAACCGTACTAGTTCAAGTAATAATATGAATAAAAAAAATAATAGTAATAGTAATATTGAAAATAATACTAATAATAATAGCAATAGCAATAACAATAATATTAACAACAGCAATAACAATACTAATAGTCATAATAATACCAATAATAATAAGAATAAACGCTGTAGAAATAGAAATAGTAATAGTAATGGGAATAGTAATAATAATAGGCATAGAAATAGTAATAATAATAGAAATGGTAATAGCAATAGTAATAGTAATAGTAATAGTAATAGTAATAGTAGTAGCAATGGGAATAGTAAAAGGAGTAGCAATAGTAATAATAATAATAGTAAGAGTACTAATGATAGTAATCGCAATAATAATAGTAATAGTAATAGTAATAGTAAAATAGTACTAGTAATAGTAATAGTAATAGTAATAGTAATAGTAATAGTTATAGTAATAGTAATAGTTATAGCCATAGTGCCAGTAATAGTGAGAGTAATATTAATAGTGATAGTTAGACTAATAGATATAATAAGCATAATAACAGAAATAGTAATAGTAAAAATAATAGTAGTAGCAATAGTGATAGAATACACATAGTAATAGAATTCATAATAATAATAATAAGACTAGCAGTACTAATAACGATCGTAATCGTAATAGTACTCTACTAATACCAGTAACAGTAACAGGAATAGTAACAGCTAGGATGATAGCAATAGTAATAATAATACTGATAGTAATACCAATAGTAATACTACTAGTACTAGCAAGTGTAAAAACAGTGGTACTAGTAATAATACCAGTAACAGTAACAGGAACCGTAACAGCCAGAATAATAGTAATAGTAGTAGTAATAGAAGTAGCAATAGTAATAGTAATAATAATAGTAATAGTAATAGTAATAGTAATAGTAATAGTAATAGTAATAGTAATAGTAATAGTAATAGTTCTAGGTCTAGTAATAGGAAAAATTAAGAGTAATGATAATATTAGTTATAGTTATAGTGATAGTAATAGTAATAATAATAGTAATAAGAACAACAATAATAATACGACTAGCGATAATAATCGTAAAAGTACTAATACGAATACCAATAACAATAACAGGAATAGTAACAGCTAGAATAATAGTAATAGCATTAAAATACGAATAGCAACACGAATAGTGCTACTAATAGTAATAGCACTTGTGATAATAATAATAATGGTGATACCAGTAACAGTAACAGGAATAGTAACAGCTAAAGTAATAGTAATAGTAATAGTAAAAATAATAATAGTAACAGTAACAGTAATAGTAATAGTAATAGTAATAGAAATAGTAATAGTAATAGTAATAGTAATAGTAATAGTAATAGTAATAGAAATAGTAATAGTAATAGTAATAGTAATAGTAATAGTAATAGTAATAGTAATAGTAATAGTAATAGTAATAGTAATAGTAATAGTAATAGTAATAGTAATAGTAATAGTAATAGTAATAGTAATAGTAATAGTAATAGTAATAGTAAGTAATAGTAATAGTAATAGTAATAGTAATAGTAATAGTAATAGTAATAGTAATAGTAATAGTAATAGTAATAGTAATAGTAATAGTAATAGTAATAGTAATAGTAATAGTAATAGTAATAGTAATAGTAATAGTAATAGTAATAGTAATAGTAATAGTAATAGTAATAGTAATAGTAATAGTAATAGTAATAGTAATAGTAATAGTCATAGTAATAGTCATAGTAATAGTAATAGTAATAGTAATAGTAATAGTAATAGTAATAATAATAGTAATACTAATAGTAATAATAATAGTAATAGTAATAGTAATAGTAATAGTAATAGTAATAGTAATAGTAATAGTAATAGTAATAGTGATAGTGATAGTAATAGTAATAGTAATAGTAGTTGCAATAATAAAAGTAAGAGTAATAGTACTAATACTACTAACAACAGCAATAGCAATGGTAATTTAGAAAATAATAGTAATAGTAATAGTGATAATGAAAATGACGATGAGAAAAAATAATTTCCAAAATACGAAGAAGAATGATTATAAGAAGAGGACCCCCGCTGTTCTTGTGCATAAGAGAACCACGTTGCTGCGAACCACTGCAACCAGGCGTCACTGCTCTCCGCCAGGAAGGCCAGGGGTTGGGGCTGGCACGAAGCATCCCACAGACCACAGAACTGGCGTGCATGCTGGAAGACCCCCACTAGCAGACGGCGACCTGGAGCCGCGTCCACCTCCCGAGGCCCGAGTGCGCCGCCGACAAGCTCGCGAGAGCTGCGGCGACTTGCCAGAACCTGACGGCGGGCGGGGCGCATGTCAGGCGCCGCTGGATGCGGCGGATTTCCACGCCGCCATCTGCCAGCCTGGCAGCCTGGCGGTGGCGTCGTCGAGCAGCACGGCGGAGTGGCGCGCGCCGCAGGCAGTCTCGCTGGAAGGGGGAGCCACTGCGCGCCGCTCTTCGAGCAGCGGGTGCCCACCTGGGACAGGGCCCGCGCGCCGCGGCCATGACAGGAGGCAGTCCTGGAACGGGCCATCCTGGACGTGGAATACACCGACGCCGACGGCGGGCAGTGGCAGGACGTGACCGTTCGCCACCCAGCGGCCAACGACGAGCGCGCCGTGCGCGCGGCGGCGAGACCCACTGGCGAGGCGGCGCGCCAGGCCGAGCGCGCCAAGCAGCGCTGCCGCGGCGAGCGGCTCACGGCGTTCGCCGTTGAGACCAGGGGCCGCCTCGGTGGCGAGGCGCGGGCCTGGCTCTCGAGCCGGCTCCTGGAAGACGCGCAGCCCGAGGAGCAAGCGCGGGCCTACTTGGTGCTGGGCTGTGCCCTGCAGCGCGAGCTGCCGCGGCAGCTCCAGCGCGCTGCCGGGCTGCGCTGAGCGAGCGCGGGCGGGCGCTGAGCGTTTCGGCGCCAGCACGAGGCGCCAGGTGCCGCGGGGCGACGCCGGCGGCTCGCTGGCGGGCCAGGCGGCCGCGGCGCGGCAGAGGCTGGCGGCGCTGGGGAGGGGGAGGGCGGGAGGAGGGCGCGCAGCGGCGGCGGCGGCGCCGCTCCCCGGGGCTGCGGGCGGTGCCTTGGAGCGCCGCTGGGACAGGCGACGGCGGGCGGCGCCGGGCGGCGGCGCCGGGCGCAGGGAGGCCGGCTGCGTCTTCCTCGAGGTGCTGGCCGCGCTTCCAGGCAACGGAGTCTGTAGGCACTGGCCAGCAGACCCCTCCCCCCTGGGAGTTGCCGCCATGTTAGACGGCTGGACACCCCCAGGGGGGCCGCCCTCCATGAGGGAGGGACGGCGGAGGTGTCTGCCGGCTCCCGATCACTGTGCTCTGGGCGGCACGGGAACACGCGTCCGCCGCCAGAGGAGGAGAAAGAGGAGGAGGAGGAAGAGAAGGAGGAGGAGGAAGAGGAGGAGGAAAAGGACGAGGAGGAGAAGGAAGAAAAAGAAGAAGAGGAATGTGAAGACGAAGAAGAAGAAGAAGAAGACGAAGACGACGACTCAATCGTAGAGGAGCCTGAAGACAGCACAAGCACAAAATGCCCGAGCTCCGCGCCGATTTCCTGGGTCGGCGCTGGATTCATGTTGTTGATGCAGTTGTCTCTTCCTCCACCTATCAGATGCTCCACTCTGACTGTATACTCTTACCGTGGGCTCATGCAGTGACGACGCGGCAGCAAAGCCAGCGCGGGATCTCGAGGTTGAGGGCCACCAGAGGCCTGAGCTCGGCCTAGATTGAGCGATCGTTCACGATTGTACAAGGTGTATGTGTAAACCGTTGTTATTCATCGAATGTCGTGGGGGCTGATCAGGGAGCACTAAACCGGGTAACGCCTAAACGGGGTAACAGACCCACCATGGGATCCAGGTGGACAAACTGCAACGACCAAAACGAACAAATGCACTGAAATTTTCTGCAACGCCAAAAAAAAACTGCACTGCAATTTGTTGGCAACTAGTTGCGGCAAAACTGCAAACAAGCCCCACAGACCGGGTAACAGAGGGCCCAAAACACAAAGTTGCAGTGCAGCAGCCGAAAATGTGCAACGCAGCCAGCATGTGGAAGGTGCTGCATCGAACGCGAAAGCCAAAGAAAACTGCACTGCAACAAAAGGGCCATTTGATGCCTCGAATCGGCCGTTTCCTGTTACCCCGTCTGCTGTTACCCCGTCTCTCGCTCCCTGAGGCTGGCCTGTCTGGGCACAGCCCGGGCTCGAGCTAAACAGTGTTTTTCGTTGTCGTGCTGCTTTCGTTTTCCTTCGCTATGTCCTCGTTCTGCCTTTGCTGCGAAACGAAGCCAAAAAAAAAACGGCCCACTAACGAAAACGGGGCACAGCCTCACAGGGGTCCGCCCCATGCTGTCCGAAGATCGGGGGGGGAGCAGAGCCCCCTCCCCTCCCCTCCCCCCCCCACCCACCACACACCTGCCTCCGCGGGCGGCCACCGCAGAGCCGCAGGGGCAGCAGATGGGAGCAGAGGACCAGGGGGAGGGAGCGGAAATAGAAGGGGGAGGAATCGCCCCCATGATAAGGACCGCGAGAGGCCCAAAAAAGACCCCGAGGCGGTCCCCAAAACTGCCTGCAGTGGGCTCCGCCAGGCCCCAAAACAGCTCCCAAGACGCCCACAAGAGTCCCCACATAGTGCCCAAGAAGCCCACGAGTGGATTCCACGCCTCTTCTGGGGGTCGGCGGAATTGCGTAAGCCTCTTGAATCCACATCCGGAAGTGACGTGTTACCAGAGGCAGGTCGCGCAGCGAAGCGGAAGCCCTAATGTAACGTATCCAATGTGTCCAAGTATTGCACAACTGCAATGGATTCCATTCTTACAGACTGGTACATGTTGTATTATGTTATATCATTATGTCTCCCCCCCTACCCCCCCTCGGAGCCGCGCCACAGCGCCGTGCCAAATCTGGAGGCCCTCATTCTTGGGCTCCAAACCTGCAAAAACCGATGGAAAATACACAAAGTCTGCCTCTTGGACCTCTTGGGACTCCAAGAAGGCCACAAGATGGCCCAAGATAGCCCCAAGACGGCCGAAGACGGCCCCGCGACGGCCCCAGGTGGCCCCCAGAGGGCCCGGCAGGCCGCCAAGACGGCCCAAGGGGGCCCCACGAGGACTCGAAAGAGCGCCTCCAGAAGCCTCTGAGAGCCTTATTCGGCTCTCAGAAGACCATGACGGCCCAAGCAGCTTCCAAAAAGACCCCAAGACGGCCCAAGAGGCCCCCGTGTGGGCCCTCAGACGGCCCAAGAAGGACCCGAGACGGCCAAAACAGGTCCACAATACGGCCCAGGGGGCCCCTAAGACGGCCCAAGGGGACTCCCAGAGAGCCCCAAGGCGGCTGCGAGAGGCCTCAAAGATGGCCTCCGAAGGGGCCAGACGGCGCAAGAGCGCCCCAAGGCGGCGCAAGACGTCAACAAGAAGCCCCAAGAGACCCCAGAAGAGCGGCCCCGCAGACGCCCCAAGAGGCCCCCTAGAGGCCCCCAAGAGGCTCCCAAGAGACCCCCATGAGGCCGCCCAGACGATCAATGACCCTCATTTCGCCGTCAATGGCCACTACATACGCCAGAAAAGAGGACCTTCGGTGAAACGCATGGCTGTCACAAAAGATAATCTGACTCCCCTGATGGGCAACGAAAGGGGGTACTGGCATAGGCGGGAGGGACGCATCGACCTGGAATCGGGGGTACATGGCCGATAGATCGGCGTTAGGCCCCGATAGTGACTCCGCACATTCATGGGCGAGGTGGGGCTATCGGGCCCCTATCGGCGATCAATGGGCGATTGGAGGACAATGCATTCCCCCCCCTATCTCGCCCCATCGTTGCCCCCGACTCTCTCGATCACCCGGGACGGCCGCGGTGAAGCGTCGGGGTGCGGCGCGAGGAAGAGCATCAGCAGGCAGGGCAGCGCAGGCCACACCAGCGCCCATCCTCCTCCGTCCTCCGTTCTCCTTCCTCCTTCCTCCTTCCTCCCGCCTTTCCCTCCTCCTCCTCCTCCTCCTCCTCCTCCTCCTCCTCCTCCTCCTCCTCCTCCTCCTCCTCCTCTTCTGAGTACCATTAATAAAAATAGTCGCAGTACTAGTAGTAGTGGTAGTGGTAGTGGTAGTGGTAGTGGTAGTGGTAGTGGTAGTGGTAGTGGTAGTGGTAGTGGTAGTGGTAGTGGTAGTGGTAGTAGTAGTAGTGTAGTAGTAGTAGTAGTAGTAGTAGTAGTAGTAGTAGTAGTAGTAGTAGTAGTAGTAGTAGTAGTAGTAGTAGTAGTAGTAGTAGTAGTAGTAGTAGTAGTAGTAGTAGTAGTAGTAGTAGTAGTAGTAGTAGTAGTAGTAGTAGTAGTAGTAGTAGTAGTAGTAGTAGTAGTAGTAGTAGTAGTAGTAGTAGTAGTAGTAGTAGTCGTAGTAGTAGTAGTAGTAGTAGTCGTAGTAGTAGTAGTAGTAGTAGTAGTAGTAGTAGTAGTAGTAGTAGTAGTAGTAGTAGTAGTAGTAGTAGTAGTAGTAGTAGTAGTAGTAGTAGTAGTAGTAGTAGTCGTAGTAGTCGTAGTAGTAGTCGTAGCAGTAGTAGTAGTAGTAGGAGTAGTAGTAGTAGTAGTAGTAGGAGTAGTAGTAGTAGTAGTAGTAGTAGTAGTAGCAATTGCATTAGTAGTATGTTCAGTATTCCTCTTAGTGGTAGTAGTCGTACTGGTATGATTATTAGCACTCGGTTCAGCGCTGTCCGTCTTAATATGATTATTAGTGTTACTAGTATGGCTACTCATGTTCGTAGTAATCTTCGACTTGATGACATTGTTGGTATTATTCGTAATACTCATATTATTATTATTCTACACAGTATGATTAGTAGCACGGATCATAATATCATTCCTATTCATAGTATTAGCATTCGCCGCAGTATAATGATTGTCATGTGTGTTAGTTTTATTCATCCTCCTCCTCTTCCTCCTCCTCCTCATCATCATCAGCATTACCCTGCGTGATTATTACACTGTCGTTGGCGGCCAAGAGGTGCACAACTCTCACGTAGTTTTCGATGGGCCGAGCACAGCTTGTACTTCTGTAGCACTTGCGGGTGCACGGCCACGTCCAACTTGGTCAAGTTGGCTGTGCCGTGCAATGGTCAGCCCACATGCAAAGGTCAAGAGAACCCAGCGCGGATTCAGGAGGGCCTCTACCCCAGCCACACTGGGCAGCCCAAAGCGGTCAAGCACGCCCTTAATGTCATTCAAGCTGTGGTCGGCCTCGACCCTTTGAGTGGATCCAAAGGGGGACCTCCAGAGGCTGGAGTAGGGCTCTCTCCTGGGCGGGGCTCCACTGCGTGTCCCTCTCAGGGCTCCTAGGGGCCTCCGTGGGACACTGGGTCCCCTTCACCCTGGTCCCTGGTCCCTGGTCCTCCTCCTCCTCCTCCTCCTCCTCCTCCTCCTCCTCCTCCTCCCTCGTCCTCCTCCTCTGGGTAAACCAAAAGGTACCGATCGCGCTACTCCCCGGACTTCTCCCGGGGTGCGCCCTGACCAGGATCTCGAGGCCCAGGAAGAGGAGAGCGAGGGAAGAGTAGCCGTATAGGTACCTTCCCCTCCTCTGACATCCCCCTCGGGGCGGCGCCTCGAACCGCGCCATCATGTCCCCGTGCTCGGGCACGCCGGCCAGCGCGAGGGCGTCCCCGCCAGAGCCCGCCCCAGCGGGGGAGTCCGAGGGTGGCCGCTCGGCGTCCGGGTGCGGAGCCTCGAGAGCGCGCACGCAGCCGTGCCACCGCCACCGCCGCCGTCGTCACCCTCTCCTCCTCCTTGAATGCTTTCCTCCTCCTCCTCCTCCTATTCCTCCTCCTCCTCCTCCTCGTCCTCCTCCTCCTCCCGCTCCTCCATCTCGTTCCTTCCAAAAATCTCTCCCTGGCGCACCTCGAAGCCAATTCTTCGGGCGGGCCGGGCATTTCGCCTGAGACTTCCTCACCATTCATGACTCGGAAACCTTAAAAAATGGGCAAGAGTTTCACGGGTTGAGGGCGGGTCGTTTCCAAAATGCGGCTCTCGCCTTAGCGCGGCGCACATTCGTGATAATAAGTTGCAAGAGCTTCACGGATTGAGGGCGGGTCGTTTCCAGAATGTGGCTCTCGCATCAGCGCAGCGAACATTCCTTGTAAAAGTTGGCAAGAGCTTCAAGGATTGAGGGCAGGTCGTTTTCGGAATGTAGCTCTCGCCTTAGCGCGGCTCACATTCGTTATAAACATTGTAAAAGCTTCATAGGTTGACGGCGGGTCGTTTCCAAAATGCGGCTCTCGCCTTAGCGCGGCGCACATTCGGTGTAAAAAATTGCAAAAGCGTCACGGATTGGGGGCGGGTCATTTTCAAAATGTGGCTCCCGCCTTAGCGCGGCGCACATTCAGTTTGGAAATTTGCAAGAGCTTCACGGATTCAGAGCGGGTCGTTTCCAAAATGTGGCTCTCGCCTCAGCGCGGCGCACATTCCTTGCAAAAATTGGCAAGAGCTTCACGGATTGAGAGCGGGTCGTTTTCAGAATGTAGATCTCGCCTTAGCTTGGCGCACATTCGTTATAAAAATTGTAAGAGCTTCACGGGTTGAGGGCGACTCGTTTTCAGAATGTGGCTCTCGCGTTAGCGCGGCGCACATTCGTTTGAAAAATGTTGCAAGAGTTTCACGGATTGAGGGCGGGTCGTTTTCAAAATGTGGCTCCCGCCTTAGCGCGGCGCACATTCGGTTTTGAAATTTGCAAGAGCTTCACGGATCGAGAGCGGGTCGTTTCCGAAATGTGGCTCTCGTCTTAGCGCGGCGCACATTCGTCGTAAAAATATGCAAAAGCTTCAAGTATTGAGGGCGGGTCGTTTTCAGAATGTCGGTCTTGCCCTAGCGCGGCGCACATTCGTCTGACAAACATGAAACAGTTTCACGGATTCTCATCAACGTGCCCGAAAGCATGTGTTGAAAGGATTCAGGATTGAGATGGTACATCAATCGTCTTGGTTCGCTGTGTTGAAGTCCCATGAATGGAATTCTGGAACGATTCAGGATTGTCAAGACGCAGCACTCAGGTTGATCCGTGGCGTTGGAAACCCGAGAACAAATGTTTACGCATGTTTCAGGGTTTTCAAACTGCTGTTTTCCAAAGAGGCAGTTCCTTCAATGGAAATGAACCGTCGTAGGGGCCTCTGAAGAGGGATTTTGGAGGGAGGGCTTATCCCAACATCGTGGATGACTCTTGCGTTTACACTGGTCCTCCTCCTCCACCTCCTCCTCCTCCTTCTCCTCCCCCTCCTCCTCCTCCTCCTCCTCCTCCTCCTCCATTTCCACCTCCTCCTCCTCCCCCTCCTCCTCCTCCTCCTCCTCCTCCTCCTCCTCTTCCTGGTCTTCCTCCTCCTCCTCCTCCTCCTCCTCATCCTCCTCCTCCTTCTCCTCCTTCTCCTCCTCCTCCAGTCCTGCTCCTTCTAAATAACTTGTCCCTGTCGCACCCCGGGGCCCGTTTTTGGGGCGAGCCGGACGGTTCGCCTGAGACTTCCTCACAAATTATGACACTGGAGCTTAAAAATTAGCAACTGCTTCACAGATGGAGGGCGTGTCGCTTTCAAATGTGGCTCTCGCCTCAGCGCGGCGCACACACGTTCTAAAAATGGATGTAGAGCTTCACGGATTCAGGGCGGGCCGTTTTCAAAATATGGCTCTCGCCTTAGCGCGGCGCACATTCGTTGTCAAAAAACTTGCAAGAGCTTCACGGATTGAGGGCGGGTGGTTTTCAAACTGTGGCTCTCGCTTCAAAAATTGGCAAGAGCTTCATGGATTGAGGGCGGGTTCAAAGTGTGGCACTCGCCTCAGCGCGGCGCACACTTGTTCTAAGAATGGGTGTAGAGCTTCACGGACTGAGGGCGCGTCGTTTTCAAAATGTGGCTCTCGCCCTAGCGCGGCGCACATTCGTTTTCAAAACAATTGCGAGATCTTCCAGGATTGAGGGCGGGTCGTTTTCAAAATGTGGCTCTCGCTTCACAAAGTGGCAAGAGTTTCACGGATTGAGGGCGGGTCGTTTTCAAAATATGGCTCTCGCCTTAGCGCGGCGCACATTCGTTATAAAAGATTGCAAGGTCTTCACGGAATGAGGGCGGCCCTTTTTCAAAATATGGCTCTCGCCTTAGCGCAGCGCACAATCGTTTTTAAAATGTGCTAGGTTCCCACGGGTTCCCATCATCAACTTGTCAGACATTTTGTTCTGTAAGGACTCAGGCTGATACGATTGGAACGGTTACGTTGATTCGCAGTGTTGAAGTCCCATGGGTCTGGCACGAATTAGGATCGTCAAGACGCAACAGTCAGGTTGATCCGTGGGGTTGAAATCCCAAGAACAATGTTTCCGCATGCTTCAGGGTCTTCAAACAATTGTTTTCCAAAGGCACTTCCTTCAATGGAAATGAACCGTCGTAGGGGGCCATAAAGAGGGAGCTTGGAAGGTTTATGCCAACATGGCTGATGACTCTTGGGTTTACACTGGTCCTCCTCCTCCTCCTCCTCTTCCTCCTCCTCCTCTTCCTCTCCTTTTCCTTAGAAATATTCTCGCCGTGTCGCACCCCGAGGCCCGTTTTTAGGGCGGGCCTGGCGTTTCGCCTGAAACTTCCTCACCAATTATGACTCTGAAGCTTACACATTGGCAACTGTTTCACACATGGAGGGCGGGTCGTTTTCAAAATGTGGCTTTCGCATTAGCGCCGCGCACATTCGTATGAGAAGATTGCAAGAGCTTCACGAATTGTGGGCGAGTCAATTCCAAAATAAGGCTTTGGCCTTAGCGCCGCGCACATATTCGTCTTAAACATTTGCAAGATCTCAGAGCTCCAACGATTGAGGGCGGCTCCTTTTCAAAATGTGGTTCTCGATTTTAGCGCCGCGCAACAAAATCACGGAGTCCCACGATCAACGTATCAGAAAAGACGTTTTGGAAGGATTCCGGATTACGTATGCGGGCGCAACATTTACGTTGATTCGCGGTGTTGAAGTCCCAGGAATGGCCATCTGGCACGATTTCGGATCGTCAAGACGCAACAAGCAGGTTGATCCGTGGGGCTGAGATCCCGAAAACGAGGCTTACGCATGCCCCAGGGACATCAAAAGGCTGTCTTCCAACGGGGCAATTCCCTCAATGGAAGTGAACCGTTGTAGGGGCCTATGAAGAGGGGGTTTGGAGGGAAGGTTTATTCCAGCATGGTTGATGACTCTTGGGTTTACGCTGGTCCTCCTCCTCCTCCTCCTCCTCCTCCTCCTCCTCCTCCTCCGCCTCCGCCTCCTCCTCGTCGTCCTCCTCATCCTCCTCCTCCTCCTCCTCATCCTCCTCATCCTCCGCCTCCTCCTCCTCCCCACTTGCGGAACTCAACCCCACCCTGCGGGTGGGCGGGTGGGGTCCCAGGATCTGCAGAAAGGCTGACCTGGAGTTCTCGTCCAGCCGCGTGGACACCTTGGCGACACCTTTTGGGAGGGTTGGGTGGGAGTTGTCCTAGCAGCGCGATTCCCCTCGGACTGGCTGATGGTTCATTCTACCAGGTGCGCATGACGGAGCTGCAGGTATGTTCTGCCCCATGTCCATGCGTTATGGTCCAGGAGTCCTGCTGCTCGGACGCACCCATCCTCTCACAACGTCTGGAGGAAATGCCGGAGGTGCCCTTCCCCAACGGCTGCGGGCGCCGCGTTGTCGGCGTCCTCAGACAGGCATCTGGGGCAGAAGTCAAACCAGCGCAGGTTGTTGACATCAGGGTCACCGTTGAACCTGACGTAGCCAACCAGGTTGACCAATTCGGGCTGCCTCAATGCGGCGAGTTGGCGCTCTTTGAAGACGGGCTGCGCCGGGGGGGCGCAGTGACGGGTGGGACGGGTAGTCCGCTGTCCAGAAACTCGATCCTCGCGGCTCCAGGTTCCGATCGTCGGCGAGGTCCTGGCCCAGCGCCCGGAGCATTATCTGCCTGGTTAGCGCGGCTGCCTGCGCCCGTGCGCCCGCTGGGCTCGTTGCTGGGAGAGCGCCGTCTGCGCGCGGCGGGGGGGCTGAGCTGCGTCGTCGCCTCGCGCTGGGGCCTGTCCTGGCTCTCGTCAAGGACGTCCTGGACGTTCCGCCTGCGCGTCTCCCTCCGGGCTCACCTGACCTCCCGAGCGGCGGGGGGGCTCACCGGGAGCGCCCTGCGTGGCCCCTGGAGAGCCCCGGGGGGGCAGACACGCGCCTCCGCCCGCACTATGGCGACGGCCCGCGGCCGCCCCGGGCCCGCGGGGCCGCGCCAGGCCGCGCGGCGAGCGCTGCTCGATGGCGGTCACGCCATGCCACGTCCAGCCCCGCCTCGGCCCTTGCGCCGCGGCCTGTCCGGGCGGCTGGTCTCTCCCTTTGGCGCATGCGTCCAGGAGGCCGACGGTGTCCAGGTGCTCTGCCGGCCTCTGCCAGATCCGCGGCGGGCCCTGGCTAGCGTCGCCCAGCAGGGAGGTACGCGGCGCCCTCGGGAGCTCCTTGCCGGCCCCCAGGTCGCGGGCGCTGCTGGTGGCGGGCGCCGAGACGGCCACCAGCGGGCCCATCCCCAGGCGGGCTGCCGGGCCAAGCTCGGGCCGCGCGGCGGGTCAGCCAGGTACACCCTGCGAAATGCTTAAGAAATCATGGGTTAAGAAATTGATAGTCTCAGAACTTAAATAAAAACCCAAAATTCCCATTCGAATCTTAGGATTTACATTTAAACATTAAGAATAATCGAGACCCTG